GTGCGGCTGCCCGCCGGGCTTTACGGGCTCTGGATGTGAAAAATGTACGGAGAAGGGAGTGATCCTCTTACAGTTCTGCTGACGGGCACTGGGAACATGATGGGTCAAGCAATTGCTACATAAAATAGAGGGGAGAAAAAAAACAAAAACAAGAAAAAAACCCCACCAGCGAGCTGCGCCAAGGAGCGACTCGCATTTTGGCAGCTGGGTGCATGCCCGCAGAATGTTAGCAAAGCACAGGGAGCCAAGTGGGAAATCAGAGCTATGTATTTATCCAGAGGATTAGCAATAAATCAGTATTAAAATGAGCTCCTGTGGGTATGAGCAAGTCTGGAAGAGACAGAGGCATATGAGTGCATTCCTTAACCAGGGGACAGGGGTGTATTTGCGATGCCTGTGTGTGTGGGGACGGAAGCTTGCGGGAATCTGAGGGCAGGTAGGGCTAGCATTGCTAAAAGCATCTAATGCCTTCAAGGACTTGGTTTTCTTTTCAAGCCAAGTCTTCCCTGGAGTCAAGGAACCATTTGTGTGTGGCTCCCTTTGCTTTTTGGGTGGCAGAGAACTTTCACTGTCGTAAGAGGCTTCCTAAATCCTGGCTTCAAATAGAAAGGGGAAAGAAGTCGTGCACAGAGGGGTGGGGTAGCTCCCGCTACGCGAATCTGAGTCGCCTTGGTGCCCTCTCTGCTGCCAGCCTGCCTGCCAGGGACCTTCGGTGAGGGCTGTGCTCAGATCTGCCAGTGTGCCGGAGCCACCCAGGAGTGCCACCCCGTCACCGGGGCGTGCGTCTGTGCCCCCGGCTTCCACGGTCCCACCTGCCAGCTGGGTGAGTCCGCGCTCGGCTCCTCTTCTCCTTCACGCACCTTTGCAGGTTGCCGCCCAAGGCCGCGCTTCGTCCTGAAAGCACGGTGCCGGGAGCGCCAGCGGTGCCGGTGCAGAGTGCGGGGGACGTGCTGGGCTGACCGCTCGGGGAGCAGCCAGCTCGCTGGAGTGGCTTCAAAGCAGAGGTTCTGGCTGGTTGCCTTGCCTCGTTTCTTGCCGGTGGTCGCCTTTGTCCTCACTGGCTTGGCCAAGGCCTGCTTTGCTGTGTTCTTAACCATTGCCCAGCTCTTACGGCTCGGGAGCTGCGGCTGTCCAGGCAAGTGTTTTCTTGCTCCCTTGTCCAAGCCTGACCCTGCACACAAACGAGAGGCTCTGACCGCTGTCGTGTCTCTCGCTGACTAATCTGCAAGTAGGAGTTCATGCAACCAACACATCATTGTCATGTGCACTCACGGGGGTTTTTTTGCCACTTTTCTTTTGCATTGTGGGATACTTACCAGCTATATCTTCAGCAGAGAGGTTCTGAACGGTCCGAAGCTCCTTGGTGGTGTTGCTTGTTTCCATGAGATTATTTAAAAGTGCTTTCTGGGGTTTTCTTTGGCTCCTGCTAAACAGCCAGCACCTCAGTGAGCTGTTGCGTTCCTGCGCTTTAGCGGGTGCTGCTGGGAGGGCAGAGGCACCTGAGCACGGCTTGCAGGAGCTTGTGATGTCTGTGATGTATGGGTCACAGCTGACACCATTGGCTCACGCCGAGGGATGTGAGTATGTGCCTTGCGTGCCCTTGGCGCATTGCTCTAGCTGGTTGCCTCCTAAGTGCTTTGGAGCAGCTCTGCGCTATGAAGCAGATCAGAAACCCATCGGCTGTGCCAGCCTGGCACAAACCCGCTTCCAGCAGAGCTGTCTGCTTCCTCTCTGATGAAATGGCTGCGTGAATCCACGTGGTGGGTTTTTCCAGAGAGTTTGGACCTTGTTCTCATCTTTTTAGGCCGTTGTTTCTTCTTTTTCCGCAGCATGCTCCCCCGGGTGGTACGGCCGTAACTGCGAAAGGCCATGCAAGTGCAAGAATGGGGGCCTGTGTGACATTACCACAGGGATGTGCCACTGCCCGGCTGGCTACATCGGCGCTGACTGCAGTATCGGTGAGTGCCCGGGTCAGCCGGGGGGGACATGAGCTCGCAGGAATTTCCTCAGCGGGAGGTGAGCGGAGGTGGGTGCAAATCCTGCACACAGCCGGGTTGCTGACCCTGCGGGAGATGAGCAGCATTGCAGTGACTGACTCCCACGGCGGCCCGTCGGCAGATAAAGAGCTCCTTGTCCCGCTTCACAACCTGTGCTGTCAGCAACGCCCTCCCCGCTTCAGTTCGGAGGCCGGCGTGCGTAGTGCCAGCCTTACTGCGGGAATGCAGTTGCAGCTGATCTCGTTTTCTGTCGGTCTTAGCCACGGAAACATTTTCTTGCTCCGTTTGTTTTGCGCCAAAACGGTTTCTCCACTAGGAAAGGCCTGACACATCAGCCTTTGTGTCACTGTATTGCTGTCTCGCTGCTAAAAATGCTTTGCTCATCCAGCAGAAGGAAACCTAAAAGCTCTCTGCCCGGTCTGCCAGTCGCACTGTGCAGGGTGGCAAACTCCCTTCGGGCCCCATGGCTTTGCTCACGCGCCATTGCAAAGTCCTTCCAGCCTCGCCTACAAACGCAGCCAGCTGTGCTTTGGCGTGACCAAGGCGGCTCAAGGTCTTCCTCCCGCCAGGATGTCCTGCTGGTCGCTACGGCACAGACTGTGCGCGGCTGTGCTCCTGCGGGGACGGCGCTGCCTGTCACCCCGTCACCGGAGACTGCGTTTGCCCACCAGGAAGAGCTGGGCCTGCCTGTGAGCAAGGTAAGTATTAGCTGCAGGGTGGCGCATCAGGACAAGCAGGCATTTCAGGCAGAGGGTTGGAAAAGGTCCTGAGTGGGCGCCGATTGCCTTGCCCTGAGGCCTCTGCCTGTGCTTGGGTGCTCCTG